TCATGACCACGTAGGCAGGAGACAAACCTACGACCGGTATGGTTTAAGCATTTGAGCATGATGGGGATGATAAATCCACAGAACTCGCTTCATAAATGTCTAAATTTTGGAAAATCCATGTCTGTGATTGGTTACTGTGTTGTTTTAGTGTGCTATTTTTGTGACTCTCTCAAGGACGTTTCTATGTTTTATAAATAAACGCGATTTGTGTGCTTGTGATCACTGAGTTTGCTGGGTGTTTGTAGAATACACTTTCTACTCTGTATCAAAAATTTTTGTTAGAGTAGCCCACCTGGACGTAGGTTCATTGTCTCGTTCTCGTTTATCGACTAAGGTGAACCCGTAATAGTTTCAGGCATACCTGGTAACGAGCATAATATGCAAGCTGAGTGGAGAACGGCTTAAGCGTTCGTGTGCTAGCCCGAAAGTTCTGGGTTCAGCTCCCACTTACGGGATATAGTAGACGTGCAGCGCCACTGATGAGTTCTATACTAGGACGAAATCTCCGTTCAGTAGTTCGAGGTTTTCGATGATGGTCTAACATTGATCTTTCTATCAGTTAAACCAAAATAACATTTCACTTTAATTTAGGATTTGTTTTCATAGTTTTGTAGATAAAAACTCATAGAATTTTCAGATTTTTGACATGTAGTTAGTGATGATCAACATATAATCTATTACAGACAGTCATCAGTAGAGAGAGAGCCAGAAAAGAACAGAAAACATGTCAAGGTGATAGTTATTTTAATCATGGTCAAACACCCAATGAACATGAACAATTTTAATCTGCACAGAGTGAATAAATATGAAAATTACGACACAATATTAAAACTCATGATCGAGATAAACTTAATGGGTCAATATATCATGTAAAATTGAACTTAAAACAACTATCAACCAACACGAAAATCACAATTCTCAATACAAACGTCGAGACAGTTCTACCGTATGGGGGAGAAACTTAGAAAACTAACAAAGTCATCATCCTCAAGATAAAGTGTTCATTAACAGTTTTATATATACAAAATACTTCGGATTCGTTGACCAGACATTGTCGACAATAATCTACTGTGGGAAGAACAAACCAGATTCCAGCAGAGGAAGAAATCAGGAAGAAGCTCTGGAAGTGTATATTATACACGGTGAGGAAAGCAGCCAACTGCGTCACAAGACCAGCGCTCATTTGGATTCCACAAGGCAAAAGGAAAAATGGCAGACCAAAGAACAGATTACGCCAAGTAATATAGACAGATATTAGAAGATTGAACATCTGTTGGATAGAAATGGATAGAAAGGCCAAGGACAGAGTGGGTTGGAGAAAGCAGGTCGGTGGCTCATGCATTATTGGGGGTAACGGGCGTAAGTTAGTAAATAAGTAAGTATATCATTTAAAGCCTAAAGTCAAGTAAGAAATTTACGTTAAATGACGAGACCCATTATATCAGTCTGTTACTGCATAAACTGATATCAAGGTCTCATTGTAATCTGTTACACTACATTAGTTCTTGTTGAGTTGTAGGTCACCTGAAGTGTTTAATACAAATAGAAACCAATTAAAATACTTAAGTACATGATCTTGTCGACTCATTTATCATTTGTGACACATTAACCCCCTTTGTCTAAACGCGAAATTACACTTCACCTAAATAGAGGAATAAAATTTTAATAGACCAGTTTCATCATAACCCACAGAATCTAGAAAGTTACAGTTTTCAAGGTAAATCCCAAAGTAGGTAGGCATCAGAGATACAATTCTACAAAATTGCGAAATTTTAGGAATTCAAGAAAGACTGGATGCATTTGTGTCATTGCAAACGATTTCATTCAAACTATCTATCCGTTCGATGCAATGATCACATGAACCGAACTCCTACACCTACCTATATGACTCAGTTCAACTGTTAAAGTCTTTATAGACTGGTACAGAGTTTTAGTTGGCTGAATTAATTATTATGTGATACAATGAAAGTTGTTTTAAAATAGTATCAGATATATCATCATATATCACTTTTAATGGAAGAAAAAAATTTGAATCTTGAACGTTTTATACTGAAAACGAGATCCAGATCACTGAAAAAAAGCACTAAATCTAACTGAATAATCACTCGAATAGTGGTTGTGTTCTTAATATTAATTAAAGACTCTTTCATTATCTAAGTTGAACTAAAAATATCAAACAGGATGAATTAGTCACAATATATCGACTAGCATCGAGCTCCATGTATTAGACATTAGTTTAGACCACCATTGGAAATATGGAAGCAATGGACGACCGTCTCATCCTAATAGAAGACTCATCAGCAGTGCGCATCCATGACTCACGCTACTCGTAGGAATCGAAACCATCATCTTCGGCCTTGCATGCGAACGTATAACTTCCACAGCTGGCATCCATTGGTGTTTGTGTTCAACTTAAATCAATCCAGAGTCTTGCGCGACTATATTCAACCTCGGCTTAGTGGTTCAGATGTTAAGCTTTTGCTGGCGAGACCAAAGAATCACGAGTTAGCTTCGTACGTGCGGAGGTCGAGGATCTGCACTGCCACTAATGAGTAACCTACTAGGAAGAAACAGTAATCCAGAGCTTTTAGGTTACTAATGGTGGTCTAACGTTGATCAGTTTTATGATTTCAATGAAACCGAACAATCTCTACAAGCCTAGCATCAAAATTATAATTCTTACACATCAGTATTCCCAAGTCTTCTCTAGCGTGCTCCGGCATGATCGATCAATGAACTTATTTTAATCCAATCTATGTCTTGTCAACAATATGTTATAATCATGATATGTATATATTTGTGATCGTTCTATCATAAGTTTCTTTTTTCTAAGTAGCGCTTGTCAATCAACATATGTTTTGTACCAAAAAAAATTTAAGATGTCAAGAGAGAATATGTTGACAGAAAATATTTTCGTTATTTTTTGTGTGATTTAATAATGCAATTACATTACGCGTATGATACGTAACGCCATCTGTCATGTGATGAATTTATTGTTAAACATATTTATCGGTTTGAAAAAATAAAGCACTATACATACATTCAGTAATGAAAGAAACCTAGTTTCCAGTGAGTAATCTAATCATTAACTCAATTATAAATCACTAAACAATATCAACCTAAATTATATGATACTCAAACAAAATTGTATAACAAGTTATGATAGATGTCAGGTATTCGTAGATTCCCTGTGACAGCTAAGGGGTTCAAAATTATCCAATGTAATATGCTTATTACCGTTGGTAGAAAATAATGAGTGTACAATTTGATAAATTAAATGTAATTGGGTATGTACTGTACTAGATTTCAAGTTGGATGAATCTAAAATTAATCAACTCACCTCATACACTGATCGATTGATGATTTCAATGAGTAATTTGACAATATTCACAACCTGATAATGCAAATTACCTGTGCTCACTAGTTGACTAGCTCCGTGAGGCATCTTATCCTAGTTCTAGGGAGAAGTCGTGACCGGTGAAGTTCAACCTTGTTTGGGTGTAGACAGTAACTATCGAAAACAGTGTATGAAGTTGTGCAAGACCATGAATTGATCGAAGTTAGACACTAACATCGTTAGATACTGGATCAGTGGTTCTGATGTTAGGTGTTCGATCGCAAGACCGAAGCTCCTGAGTACGAATCCTGAGAGGCGCATGAGTCGTGCATGCTCACTGCTACTGATGAGTCCCATGCCAGGAAGAAATGGCCGTCTTTCAGTGCTTTCAGGTTTCTAGTGGTGGTCTAACATTGATTGATTCATGGTTTTAATGAGTAACTTATCAATATTTACAACCCCGTAATGAAATATATATATATATATATATATATATATATATATATATATATTAAGGAGAGGCCTAGTGCCATTTTGTTTTGCCAATGGTTACCGACGGATTCTTGTTCATGATTCTATAAACTAAACACGGTATAATACTGACTACAAATAGTTAAGTGTTCCCAGATTCAAAATTACATGAAATGTTTAAATCATATTCATAAGTTGTTGAAAGCTACACATCATTTCTGTACAATTGTGTTTATTTCATGCATATCAGTAGTAAATATCACTTTAGCTAAAATAAATTATACTAATCAAAAGAAACTTTTAACGACCGATCTCAGTCATCGTACTTCAAAATTCCAATGTGAAAGAATATTTTTAAATAGCCGGTTTCTTCTGTTTGTAATTTATTATTCAGTAAAAATACGCACAAACACACACATACAAAAAACGATTATATCTTTGTGTAATGATCAAAACAAAAGCTTGGCATAATTTATAATTTAAAGAACATCCACCAAACGCTCAGCTGACTTTGCCAACTTGCGTTGCTTTTGTTGTAGGTGGGATATCTGTCTGTTAACCAAAGGACAAGTCTAATGCTCAGTAATTCACTCCGTCCGACTAGTAAGAATAGAGGATATTTACGTGTTGTTTATATTCGACCATTGGTGTCTTTTTGAAGCACTGCTTGTATATCCTATGACTACTGAGTAAGCGATGCTGGGGTTAAGAAAAGGATACTAGATAAGAAGGACGGGAAGTGGCCGATCTTCGTCACTTGACATGGTTGGGACGTATGTTACGTATGCCCAACCACAGACTGCCCTGGCGAGCGATGTTCTATGATGTAGGAGTAAGTTAGAGGAAAGCTAGGGGCGGCCAAACCAGAACATAGCACAAATCAATATGGTCGCTGACCAGCAGAGTGCGTCATGTTAGTAGGTATAGAATACCGGGTTGGGTCAGCGCGATGATAGTAACTGATGGTTATAGACCTTGAATGATATGGCTAAGAATCGTTAGCGATGGCGTAAGTGCATCCTTTGTTCATCTTCTCTTAAATTCTAATCTTCTGAATTCCTCATGACGTTTTCTCTCTCTCTTTTCAAATGTATTACATTGGATTATACTTCTCAAAGCATATCTTTGACCTCTGATGTTTTCAATTATAACCTCTACTACTAGTATGGTAAAAAACCTTTCACATACTTACCTTTAATATCAGAATTGATTGCTTTCATGGATTGATTCACTCCATTCTTTAATTGAACCGATTCATCTTGTTGTTCATTCGATAAGCTTTTATTCGCATTCATTTTCACAGATGAACTAGGTGTAACTATTGATTTTGTTTTCGATAAATCCAATGTTTTGCTCAAGGTGTCAATTGGTGGTTGAATAATTACTAAAGGAATTCGTGGTGTTTGTAATCCAGCTGTTTTACAAGAAAAACCATCTATTTGCTCATGATTATTATTGTTCAATCCTAACCATGATTTAGTTAAATTCGTTATAGTATATTCATAGAATAAATAACCTTGATCAGTCATAGCAGTACGACATTTAACAAGACTTAATTCTTTTTCATATGGACATTTATCAGGATTTTCACCAACACATGCAGATTGACAATTATGAAAACAAAATTTACCCCATGGTGCTATTGGACATTGAAAAAACATACTATATCCACCAGTAAGAATATTTTTATTTGAATCAACTCGTTCATTGTTCAATGAATGCACTTCACAACGTATAATTAATGGTTGATTCAATAGGACTTGATCAGCTGGTGGATTGAAACTTATAGTTAATGGTGTATCGGATTCAATATCCAATGCTTTACCATACACCAGATTCTTGTCACTTTCGATCAATAGTAATGCGGAAATTATGATTGCCAATGCTGAATTATGTAATCGTAATTGTGGAAGATGCATAGTGTTTCTTTTGTTTTGTTATTGTTGAAAAAAAGTAATGTAAATCTCACTTATTTATTCCTTCCTTGTTCCAGTGTTTTGTTTAAATGTTTCAAATTGTAATGATCATTGAATGAATCGAAGAAATTCAAATGTGTAAAATGCTGCATTTCGTTGAATTCAAGCATTAAAGTAGACAATAGGCCTGTGTATTTATAGATGATAGTTGGTAATTTTTTCTCCGGAAGAAGAAATTTTTCGATGATAAATTGAAAATTTGATGTAGTTTGTTTTTTCTATCAGTCGAGGATAAGAACAAAACGACACACACACTGTTCTGCTTTTAGATCCAGCACATGGGGCCAAAAAACAATTTTTACAAAAGCTGCCACTTTTTTTCTCAGTTCACCAGAAAAGTCATTCACATGTTGTTCACACTATACAGTTCAATGAATAGTAATGAGAATGCAGTAACAGGGTTGATGTTTAGCGAAAAAAAATTTATCAGTATAAAACTAATTTACACTTTGATACACGCGCACGCACACACACACACACATCGTCAATAGCAGTGGATGCTTGAAAAAGCAACCAACCAATCAATAGTTAGCATGAAAAAAGAAAACGATGCGTAGGCGTCCGGCACACACGGTATTTAGTAATTAGTAGTAGTAGTAGTAGTAGTAGTACTAGTACTAGTAGTAGTATCTTCAGTGTTGCGTGTGATAATTTACTTTTATTTTTTCTGTTGTGGTCTGACAGTGGAATTTTTATTCTTCGTCTTTGGAAAAGAAATTAATTTTTTTTTTAAAAAAACCCGGTTTGTTAGGAACACTGTAAAACAATTGAAACATTGAATATGGTGCTTGAACAATGAATGGCATTTCGAATTCAATTTTCAATATTTTAGAGAGTAAGAAATAACTGAAGTAGACGCAAACTATCTAACTAACTTTGACTCGGAAGTTATATTCCCCTTATGTAACAGAAACAAGTGATTTGTTTGTTGTGTGAGTAATGACGCATTCATTTCTATGTGACTAATGAGGGGATCTCACGATCGCATCTTTAGATTTGAAGTTGAGAATTTAAGTTTTAGTTTATGCTATCTGTTTTCGGTTGTATAATGTTGTAGAATGTATTTTTGTTCATAAGAGAATTTATCTTACTTGTTAGCTATATAATCTGACTAAATACAGTTAAAACGTGTCGAGAACTCATCACCTGTGATACAAAGGCAAAAAACTATAGTCACGTTTTCCCAGAAAATGAGTATAAAATGTCATTTGTGTGAAAATAACGGTTAATTGGATGTGCGGTACTGAAAGGTCTGCTTGTTTTGTTTGTGCTAATTATCGGCGATTGGAATGTAAACCAGTAACACAACAATAGGAAAACTTGACTACTTTATGTGACCCATCCTAACTAATCACAGCAAGATGTCCAAGGTCAAGCAGGAAAATTGTAAAATCAACAAACGATCCCAAGTAAACGAATTAACATGTATTCCAATCAAGCATAATCCATACCGTACAAAAAGTATCCTTGAAAGAGTTTAAAAATAGCACACGAAAACAAAAAACTAATGAATGAGGTTTAAGGTCCTTGCAAGTGGGAAACACAAATTGAATAGAATATTAAACGCTGTTGGCGGGATTATGGGATGTTTAAATTTCCCGAAAATGTAATAGGAAATTAAAAGTGTTTTCACTCAATCAAACATCCGCAAACACTTTTATACTAGGATGAAACGATAGTTTACTACTTTCTAATTTCTTAATGGTGCCGGTCTAATACACAATGGTCGATTTATGACTTCAATGAAGTTGTAGTGCCTCCACGTATATTCGAGTTCGCTTACATTTAATTTGATTAAGCCCTTTTGATTATTGTATTTAACCAAGTCATTTGTAAAACAATAACTTATATGTACCATTGGCTTTAATTATTGTGTGGTTTGTATGAACTGGTATGACTGAGCATTGCTTGACGCCTACGCGCATATGCATCCTGTCCGCTTTAATATTGATCTCTTAAATATCACGATGACTCAGAAATTTTCCTTTGTATATATACGAACATTTTCATCTTGTAAACACACTCGCACATTCGCCCATTCACTCGCTAGTGTGCCTGCCCGGTCTGTCTGTGGTCTGCTATCCCTGTTTGTGGTGTGCCAAAATAAACGTATTCAACACTTAGAGTTTACCTTCTGCTTCCTAAACCGTAGAAATTGGCCACCACAAATTTAAGGAACAATCTATTCAACCCACATAATAACATACAGAACATCATTTAAAATAGATATCTACAATGCATTGTAAACTACTGATCATCACCATTTACCACTGACTAAATTTCATCTCTCGAATGGTTGTCGAAATACCCTGTAAACCTGACAAAAAATTACTACAATGTCCGTAATTGGATATCTACATAATTCACCTCTATTGATCAATATTTTTTATGATCAAATAATATTCTTAATGAATAGAAGCATTTTCGTTAATTAATGCATCATAAAAATGGGTTTTAATATTTCAGACTAAGAATTTTCATATTACAAAAAAATGTTTTTTAACGAACTACTAAAATAAATTAACCTTTGAATTCATTAACTTTTATAGATTTGTTACTGAAACCTGACTTGTGTAATTTACATAATGCAAAGATTTACGCATTTGATTTTTTCAACAACAGACATGTTGTCTAAGGTCAGCAGAAAGAATGTATTATTCACAAGTGATTCCGAACAAACAATTGAACAGGCATTCCAATTATGTGCTCAGTAGTGACTAGCTTCATGAGGCAATTCTCGGAGTTCTATTGAGAAGCTGTGTGATTAAAATGGTGTTTAAATCTGTCAGGTGTATGCAGTAACTACCGAAGACCATGGGTGTGGTTTAGCAAAAAAATCTTTCGATTGATCAGAGTTAGACATTAACATTGTCGGATGTCGACTCAGTGATCCAAAGGTTAGGCATTTGCGCTCAAGACCGAGGTTCCTGGGTTCGAATCCAGAGGGTGGCAGGATGCACACTGCTGATGAGTCTCACACCAAGACGAAATGGCCGTCATCTAGTGCTTGTGGGTTTACAAGGTTGGTCTAACAATGAGTGGTTGATGATTTTAGTAATGTAGTATACAAAATTATTTCGCAAAACCGTTTCACACTTTGATATTGTAAAATAAATCTTTTGTTTAAATAACGAAATTTCTAAATTAGCTTTTAGTTGAGTTGTAAGTTTTTATTTGATGATCGGAAAATGTCAATTCAGTATCTTGAAATGAAAACTAAAATTTTCACACTAACTTTAGTTTGGTATTGTTACGTTCATCATTAGGTATGCTTAAAGCTATTACGAGTTCCCCTTAGTCGATAAACGCGAACGAGTCAATTATCAGCGTCCAGATAGGCTACCTTGAATCCCAAGCTGTAAACAGATATCTTGGTAAGCGTAGAAAGTATATTCTACAAACATCCAGCAATCACAATACAATCAAGCATACAACTCTCGTTTATTTATACATCATAGAAACGTCCTTAGGACAGTTAAGAAAATAGCACACTAGAATACACAGCAGCTAATCATAGCCATGGATTTTCCTGGTAGGACCTGAAATCTCAAGATCAACTGATCAGCCTAAGCTGGAAAACGTGAAATCCAAAATAAGGCATTTATCAAGCGAGTTTTGGGGATCTAACATCCCCAATACTCCTCCCCTTGTTAATAGCGTGTTCTCCTGGGGTCGACTTGCATCTTGACTGTCGTTCGCTGCTGTCTGAGAGTATACCTTCTGGAACGAAGAACAGCCTGCTTCTGAGTTTCTTCTCGTGGCGGGGCTCTCGGTAGGTTGAAGGTATCAAGCAAGATGTCAAGATGAAGGTTTTCTGCTCTTGATTTCGATGATGTGACCATTTATCACCTCCTACCTCTACTTCGTACATAACTCGTCCAACTCTTCTGACCACTTGCGCTTCTACCTAGGAAGCATGATTTGCTCTGTAGTCACCGGCGAACACAGAACATCCCACTTCGTAATAGGATTGCCTAACAGGTATAAAATAATGCTCATAATCGTCTGCATAGTATCTAATCATGCCAAATCAATTTTATTATAACAGGGTTGTGGAGATTGTTGATATTTATAGAATTCATGAAACGATCAATATTACGCTATCATTAGAAATGTGGAAACTATGGACGTCCGTTTCGTCCTGGTATGGGACTCACCAGCGGCAGTGCACATCCACGAACTTTGCACAGGGGAATCGAACACGGTCTTGGATGTGAAATAGTACTCACGGAACAGATCATGCAAGACGGTGGATTGATTCATATTTAACAATGACATCGCTGGCTTCCAGCTCAGTGATCTGAGGGTTAAACGTTAACGCGTGAGACCGAAGATCCTGGGTGTTGTGGATGCGTTTTAAAGAGTCCCATACGAAAACCGAAGAATTATTCCAATACTCCCAGGTTTCTAATGAAGTTCTAGCTTAGATCAGTTTGTGATTTCAAGCATGAAAATCATACACTCTCGAATGATACCCTTCATAAAATTTTAAAAATGATATAAAGAGAAAATCAGTAAACCAATCGAGATCTTAGGTGTAAGAGAAGCAATCATCAAGTTTACAATAGTTTTTAGCAGTCAGTATAACTGAATATGGTGTTCCAGCCGCAGACGTTGGTAAAGTCGCATTTAGTGACGTCAAGTGACGTTTGTGAAAAGATTATTCCTTTGACACACACACACGAACCACGTAGATGAGATTTTGAGGAGAATCGTAGGTGCGCGCGTGTCGCATTAAGAACAAATGTACGTTACATGAATATCAGAGACAGATGAGTTTTCAGACATGTACTCCAATGCACATACTTGCTACTTTAGACTATTTCTCATGCGTTACATGTATATCAGTGGTACTCAGGCGTTCGTCTATGCACTTTGCGACATGCATTTATGCATAAGATCTCAATTTACTATCAAAATTTTTAAAAAAAATCAATTCATTTATTCCATTTCCAGCTAACGTTCCTTTTTTGTGCGAGACCAAGAGTGTACTCTTTACGTTTATCTGCAGACGTAAATTACATAGGTCGATACTATTGGGGACGTTAGATCCCCCGAAACTCACTTGATAAATGTCCTCATTTTGGATTTTATGTTTGCGAGCGTGGGCCGATCAGTTGACCTTGAGATTACACTTCCCACTCGAAAAATCCTTGATTGTTATTGGTTGATGTGTTATTTTATTACGCTATTTTTGTGGCTCTCCCAAGCACGTTTCTCTAATGTATAAATAAACTCGATTTGTGTGCTAGTTAACCTCGAGCTTTCTGGGTGCTTATAGAATACACATTCTACGTCTTGTCAAGACTTCTTCCTCTACTCAGTGGAGCCTTGGGATGCTAGCACTAGATTATCCTATCGAGTCACTGGATCATTTGTCTTCGCTCTTGTTTACCGACTAAGGTGAACTTGTAATAGTTT